TGAGCCTACCCGGATCTCTCTGCAAAGCCCTCCTGCTCTCACGTGGATCACCTCTCTCGGTATCATCTGCACCTGGGTCATGGCAACCCATACCGTTAGTGCAAGCTGCGGGATGTAAGGTTGGAGCACAGCCCTGCCAAAATGGACCTGGGAGTTCTGGTGGATGGTGTCTGGACCTGAGCCAGCACTGTGCCCTCACAGCCCAAACCCAACCACATCCTGGGCTGCATCAAAAGCAGTGCAGCCAGCAGGGCGACGATCTGCCCTTCTGTGCTGTGAGACCTCACCTGGAGTACTGTGTCCAGATGGGGAGTCCTCACTGCAGGAGAGATGCGGATCTGTTAGAGCATGTCAGGGAAAGGGCCACAGAAATGCTCCGACAGGTGGAGCACCAGACTGTGTGACAGGCTGAGAGAGCTGGGGCTGCACAGCCTGCAGAAGAGAAAGGTCCAGGGAGACCTGAGAGTGGCCTTTCCATTTCTAAAGAGGGGGCCTTTCAACACCCTGTAATGAGGGGCCCAATACTGAATACAGCACTCAAGGTGCAGCCTCACCAGAGCCGAGTACAGAGGGATGGTCAGCTCCTGCTCCTGCTGGCTGCACTATTTCTGATACAAGCCAGGGTGCTTCTTGGACACCTGGGCACACTGCTCATGTTCAGCCGAGCATCAACCAACACTCTCAGATCCTTTTCCTTCACGCAGCTTTGCAATCACTTTGTCCCAAGCCTGTAGTTGTTGCCTGAGGTTGTTGTGACCAGAGCGTAGGACTCATTTCTTGGTCTTGTTGAATTTCATCCCACTGGCCTCAGCCCAGCAATCCAACCTGTCCACATCCCTCTGTAGGGCCTTTCTATCCTCAGGCAGATCAACACGTCCTTCCTACTTGGTGTCATCTTACTGAAAGTGCACTCAATCTCTTCATTCAGGTCATCATTAAAGATACCATACAGGGATAGCCCCAGTACTGACGTCCCCTGGGGAACACCTCTTGTGACTGATCATTAGCTGGATTTATCTCCATTCACCACAGTTCTCTGTGCATGGCCCTCCAGCCAGTTCTTTACCCACTGCACCTGTCCAAGCCATGGGCTGCCAGCTCCTCCAGCAGAATGCTGTGGGAGACACTGCCAAGGGCTTTGCTGAAGAGTCTTTGCTGAAGACTATGTCAACAGCCTTTTCCTCATCCACCAGGCTGGTCACTCAATCATAGAAGGAGATGAGGTTGGTCAGGCAGGACCTGCCTTTCATGAACCCATGCTGGCTGGGCCTGATCCTGTAGTTGTCTCATATGTGCTGTGTGATTGCACTCAAGACTATCTGTTCCACAACCTTCTCCAATACTGAGGCCTTTGGTCATTTCTTCAGAGAATCTTATGGCATTCACTGAACATGACTTTAGCTTGGTGAAACTGTTCAGTACACTCATGATGGAGTGCTTATGGAGGTGTTAGGTGCTGCCTTTGGACCACAGCAGGGTGCAGCAGTGTGCTAGGTCCAGCCTCTGCCCCATTCCTGCAGGGTCTCCACTCAGTATAGTGCAGAGTTGTTCTGCCTGAATTCTGGGGTTGACTGGGCAATGGGAACTGGGAGCTCTGGCAGCCAAAAGTGAGAATCATAGCCCAGTTCAAAGAAATAGAGTGTCAGGCTGCCTAAGTCCACCTCCCCCCTCCGCCCTGTGCTGGCTGTTGGGGTTTGGGGGCAGCATTGGCACAGGCACTGCTGGGCACAGGTATTGCTGGCAGACCCTAGGCAGAGATAGGGCCCAGGGCTATATGGGCACAGCGGGCTCCGCACAGACCTTCCCTCTGTGCAGAATGGGCTGTGGGGTGTTGGGCTGCCCCACAGGGACGGCCGTGCTCGGAGCACAGGGCAGGGATGCTGTGATGGCCGAGAGGTGAAGGCGTTGGACTCGAAATCCAATAGGGTTTCCCTGCGCAGGTTCGAATCCTGCTCACAGCGATGGATTTTACCCCTGGCCTGGAGGTGTTGAATGCACACATGGTCTCAACCCATCTCTTGGTGGTTTCCTCCTCAAAAGCACTTCCCCACACATCACTGTGCTCACCACAGCTGCTCAGGTTTACCAGCAGACCCTTCTTCCTCCATGGGCACCCCAGGGCCTATTTTCAGCTCTCACCTAGATTTTGCAGGGCTTCTCTTCCCTCCCTCAAAGTCAAGTCCTGGATCCAACTTGTGCCTGGAGCCTGGTACTAGGGCCTGAGTCCAGCAGTACCAGGGATTGCACTGCCCCCAACACTCAAATGAGTGTTGGGAGTCTCCTTGTTGTCCCCTTGTGAGGGGGACCTCAACAGATAAACATCTTGGCTTGTCTGTATTAGAGGAATGATTCTCATTTAAGGTGGAAGAGGTCCTGGCTTCAGCTCCTGATGAGCTCTCCCCTTTTGGACACCATTGCCCTTCAGGCCTGGGGACAACCACTGTGAGGACAGGGCACTGATCAAACCCAAAGCCCCACAGCACCCTGACATCTTGGGCACAACTCCTCTGATACTTTGCTTCCCACCATGGCCAGCAGCCATGTACTGACCTGTGCTAGGTTGGCAAAATTCCGAGCAAAGTCATGGCCAGGTCAAAGTTCCTCCTAGTTGAGAACATCAGAACCATAGAATCAATTGAGTTGGAAAGGACTTTTAAAGGTCATCTAGTCTAACTCTCCTGCAGTGAATAGGGACTTCTGGAGCTCAATCAGATTGCTCAAAACCCAGTGCAGTCAGACCTTCAATGTATCTCCTATCAGGTCTCCCCAAGACCTTGCAATTGGCTTTGTTGAATCTCATAATATTCCCTGGGGCCCACTGCTTAACCTGTCTAGGTCCCTCAAGATGGCACCCCATCCCTCAGGCATGACACATAGCTTGGGTCATTCACCATGACTCTGTTGATGTCATTGATGATGATACTAAAAAGTATCAGTCCCAGCACTGACCCCTAAGAGACACCACTCATCACCAGTGAGTGATGCAGTTACAATACCATAGAAGGCAGACATGCCCTTGGTGAAACCATGCTGGTTAGGACATTCCATATCTTCTTTAACTTCCATGTGCCTTAGCACTGCTTTCAGGGGGATTTGTTCCATCATCTCCCCAGCAGAGTGGTGAGGCTGACGGGTCAGTAATTCCTTGGGTTGTCCATTCTCCACTTCTTAGAAATGGACGTGACATTGCAGGAAAGCACCAGGTGATCTACTGGGATGACAGGGGAGAAAGAGAGCTCCAAGGGGAAAGGGTCTCTGGAGAAAGATGAGGGAGGGTTTTTTGTCAGAGTCAGCAAAAGTGTGGAGATGCTGGGGGTTGAACCCAGGGCCTCCTGCATGCAAAGCAGGCGCTCTACCGCTGAGCTACATCCCCTGGATGGTGATGGTGGTGGAGGGTCTGTTTTTTGGGAACTTTTCCTCAGTCCTCTTTCTGAGTTGATGCTTCCTGCCAGCAGCTCCCCCTGTAGCACCCCATACATTGAAGGGCTAAAACACAGACACAGAGTTTCCTTTTTCCATCTGTGTCTCCCTCTAAACTCTCAACCTGTTCATGGCTATTTTGCACAGATAGCTCTTAGGGATCAATTCTTTACCTGCACTGCAACCTGGGGAAGCCTGGCTTGTTGCTCTGGGGGTATGACTCACTTCAGGTGTTTGAGGGCCAGTCTTCAACACCTGGACAACCCCAACTCTCTACCACACCCCTGTCCTGTCCAGTCCCAAGCCACTGTCACAGGTAAGAATAGGCCGTGTGTGCACATGCTGTGCTGCTGAGCCATATCTACATCAAGATGATGTTCAAGGAGTCTCTACTAAGGAATTCTTCCTCAGCTCTTCTCTTCTGCAGCTGCTGACTCTGCCTACCTGGGCAGTGGGGGGCAAAGGTAGGGCTGGGGCTACCTGAGGATGTCCTACAGGGAGGGATGGCTGGAGTGTGGAACAGGGGTCCATCCCAAGTTGTCTAGGCTGGAGTTGTGATGGCCAAGGGGTCTTCACCCCCTTGGAAGGAAGTGGACTCAAAATCCAATACAGTTCTCCTGTGCAGTCTGAAATCCTGCTCACAGTGATGGATTTTAGCATTGGCCTAGGACCTGGGGTGGGGGAGAGTCACACTGGTGTTGTGGAACATCAGAACTCCCCACCAGCACTGGCTTCTCATGGTCGTGTTTGTCCAGTTTATTCCTTTGGGCGGCTGGACTCTTCCTTTCTGTGTCCCTATCTTCTGTGTCCCTGTTGCTGATAGGACTGTACTCAGTCAAGAGCATGTTACTGGGGTTGGGCTCAGAAGAAGATTTTTGTTTTTCTTCAGCTGGTGTCAGCTTGTCTTAGTGACTCATGGGCACTAATGGGTAATGACTGCTGGAGATTTCTCTGGATGTGCTACTCAAACCCCACAAGAGCACTGCAGTCCAAACAATCACTGTTCTGTTGATCCAATACCTTTTCTGTCTCCTGGCTGTGGATCAGTGCAGTTAATGAGAAACCCTGGTGCTGGGCAGAGTGCTGGGAACATTGCTGCTCCCAGCAGGACGGCAAGAGCCAGAAAGACCTGTGAGCAGCCAAGCCCAGGGCCACAGGGTTTGGGCAGAAACCAGGACCATGGCCAAGCTGGTGGAGTGTGTCCCCAACTTCTCAGAGGGATGCAACAAGGAGGTGAGGGCTGGCGATGGGCTGCGGTGGGGGGCTGGGCTGGGCAGGTTTTGCACTGCTACTTGTGGCCTAGCTTGTAGTTTTCCAGCACTTTGAGCCCTTCTGGGCCAGCTGAAATCAGACTGAATTCAATTCAGTGAGAACTTTCATCTTCTACCTTGGTGGAAAATTGTGCACTAATACTGAAACTGCCCAAACACAGTATCTGATCCTGTTTTGCAACTCAGTAAAAAGCAGGACTTTGGCAACCCTCTCCCTTCTGCCTGCAGATCGCCATAGGGTCTGGGCAGTCTGGTACACCCTAATGGAGAAACCTCACTTTCAGCTGTTTTTCCAAACATGCCCCCCAAGTTAATATTGCCTGTGGTGGTCACCTGCCTTAGGCTGCACTTTGCCCCAGGGGTGAAGGTCAGCAAACCCAAAACTGTTGCAAAACTGCTGCTTCCGCTTGGTAATGGGCTTTGTGGAGCCAAATCTGTTTTGGAGTTTGCAGGGGACGGTGTCCTCAGGAATAGCAATTTGTGATGCTGCCCTTTTGCATGCAGCTTTACAAGGGCTTGAGGATACATGGGGCCTGGAAATGTCTGAGTCCCAGCTCTGCCAACTGGAAGTTGGATGCACATGCTTGTAGGTCCTGCATCTTCACTTCCTTCCTGACAAGTCTGAGGATGGGTGCATCCTCTGCACTGCTTGGAGCAGGGTGGAGGCACCTGAGCAAAAGCATTACCCACCTTGCAAAGCTGCTGGAGTGTAGTAGGCATCTCTTCAGCCCACCCAACTTGTCTACTTTGAATGCTTGGCAGGTGATCGAGGCGCTGGGGCAGGCCATCTCCCGGACACCAGGCTGCACACTGTTGGATGTGGACGCTGGTGCCTCCACCAACCGTACTGTTTACACCTTTGTGGGAACCCCTGAAGCTGTTGTTGAAGGGGCACTGAGCGCAGCCCGCGTGGCTTGGGAGCTCATTGACATGGGTCAGCACAAGGGTAAGCATTCCCAGGGCAAGCTGGATCGAGAAATAGGGACCAAAGCACTGCCAGCAGGCATGGACAATGTGTTTCCAGCACTGCAGGATGGATGCTGATGAGAAGGTGCAGAACACCTTCCCAGTGCTCATCTTCCCATTGCAGAGAGGCTGCATCCATCCTGTCCCTGGGCTACAGTAGGGACTCCTCTTTCCTTGCAGTGGCAATGTTCAGTCTGCAGAAAAAGCAGGGAAAGGGTCCTTGTCCCTTGTCTGCTTGTTTTTCCCAGCTCCTGATCTCTGCCCCACCCCCAGGTGAACATCCTCGCATGGGGGCCCTGGATGTCTGCCCCTTTGTGCCAGTGATGAATATCAGCATGGAAGAGTGTGTTGTTTGTGCCCACATCTTCGGGCAGCGCTTATCAGAGGAGCTGGGAGTGCCTGGTGAGTGGGGAGTGGGCAGACAGGCTCAGACCCCATACCCCTGTATACTCCCCACCATAAACATACAGCACTTCTTTTACAAAAGCTTCACCAAGGGCACAGTGGGGCAAATAGGTGAAACTAGACTGTTAGACAACATGCTCATCCCTCTCTGCCTTGCAGTATACCTGTATGGAGAGGCAGCCAGGCAGGAGAGCAGGAGAACCCTGCCTGCCATCCGTGCTGGGGAATACGAGGCACTCCCCAAGAAGGTGAGCCCGGCTTGGGAAGGAACCTCCTTTCTCAACAATTTCTCCAACAATTGCATGTATCAGCCGAGAGGTGTGAGGTGAGAGTGCAGGCAGCAGGCGTGGGCACTGTATTCACACATCCAGGTACGAGGTGCACCTCACTGCGATGGATGTCCATGGACTACAGTGAGATGGTAGTGGCTGAAGCAGGGAAGATGAGGAAGCTGGGCTTGCCCAGCCTGAGGAATTCATTTAGACCTTGGGGTTTCATCTCTTTGGCACAAGCATTTTGATCAGATGGAAGAGCTGATGAAATGTTTTGGGTGCTGCCGAGTGTGGTGGTGTTAATGGCAGATGCTGGTCATAGAAGGAGAGGCCACCTCTGGAAGGTTAGTTTGTGCTGCCTACCAGCATGCTCTCATACACTCTTTCTTCCTCTCCAGCTTGAAAAACCTGAGTGGGCTCCTGATTTTGGGCCCCCTACCTTTGTTCCCCAGTGGGGGGCCACAGTGACGGGGGCCCGGACGTTCCTGATTGCATACAATATCAACCTTCTATGCACCAAGGAGCTGGCACACCGCATCGCCCTTAACATCCGTGAGCAGGGTCGTGGCACCGACCAGGTACCCTTGTGCTGCCCTGGGTTGTCCTGCCCTGCTTGTCACTGTGCTTTGACCACAGTGGTTTCCCCCAGCCTGGAAGCTTGAAGAAGGTGCAAGGCATTGGTTGGTATTTGGAGGAGGAGAACATAGCCCAGGTTTCAACAAATCTCCTGGACTTTGAGACCACACCGCTCCATGCTGTCTATGAGGAGGTCTGCTGTAACGCAGAGGTGGGTAGTGCACAACGCTCATTTCAATGGGGAGCTTTGCAAAGCTTGTCTCTCTCCAGGTTTTTGGCCCAAAACCAAAGCTGGGCTCTGCTTTCTCTTAGAATCATAGGACCACTAAGGTTGGAAGAGAACTCTAAGATCATATAGTCCAACAGCCCACCCACCCCCACCATGCCCACTAACCATGGCCCTCAGTGCCTTTTCTTCAAAGCCTTGAGGGATGGTGACTCCACCGCTTCCCTAGGCAGTCTGTTCCTATGCATTGCCACTCTTTCTCAAAAGAAATTTTTTCCTCTTATGTTCAGTCAAGTTGGGCAAAGAGCTGAACCATATGTAAATCCCAAAAGCTAAGCAAGTTTTTACTAACCTCAGCTCTTGCCTTATCTCCACAAGGTAGGTGCAACTTTGAAGGCCTTTCCATGAACCATGATGGGGATCACCTGGCTGAGGTGGCAGCTCTGGGGACACTCATGTTTATGATATTCTTCACAGGCATTGAAGCTCCCTGTGGTGGGATCCCAGCTGGTGGGGCTCATTCCCAAGAAAGCTATGCTAGATGCAGCTGAGTTTTACATCAAGAAGGAAAAACTCTTCATACTGGAAGAGGAACACAAGATCAAACTGGTAATGTGAGTCCTCCCAATACTGAGACAAGGGTGGGATTACAGACCTCCAGCCTTTTAAAATGCCACTGAGCAGGGACCTTGGACCCGGGCAGCCCCCAGGCATGTTGGATATTAGATACCCCATTACCCTTGGCTCAGGGAAATGGTGCCTAGAAAGCTGTGAGAGCACAGCAGCTGGGACAAACTGATTTATAACCCTCGGATGCTGAGATGTTCAGGGGAGCAGAGAGCCCATCCCTTTAGGACTGAGACTGGACGCAGCTTCCCAGCCTGCCTGTGTGAAGGCTGTGAGGAGAAGGACATACAACTCAAGGACGGTGCTTAGTATTAACAGGACACTGTCCCAGCACCGGTGTAAGCTGAAAAGAAAGAGACAGGCTCTGCTTTTCTGTTCCAGGGGGGAAGGGAGCAGGGAGGGACTTTGTCACCCTAAGAGGAATGTGCTAGATAAGAACGAGCTAATTATTTATCCATGTGGTTTCCAGTCACCCATGGATACCACATGCCACTCCCACCTTTGGGATGGGAGGCACCGGTGGAACCAGTCTGCCTTGTCTTGGGTAGTGACTCTCTCCCATGGTTAATTAAAAGTGGGGCACAAGGACACAGTGGGATGAGTTGACTGGGTGCTCAGTGCCAGGTTGGGGCTGATGTGTTGGTGCTGCTCCTTGCAGGTTGTCAGCCGGCTCGGTCTGGACTCCCTGTCTCCATTCAACCCCCGGGAGCGCATCATCGAGTAGGAGCTCCTCATCATTCCTGTCTCTGGCCAGGCTGGGGGATGTTGCTGCCTGCTCCTTGCACTAAGATTGCTTTGAGAAAGAGAAGTTCACATTTAAATGAGGACATGCATAACCAAGACCTTGCCCCTTTGCCCTTGGTTACAGAGCTCCAACTAGCACATGGGCATATTCCCATTCCATAAAGTGCTGTTTGCAGAGAGACATCCCTCCCACGCAGCACAATCCCTGACATCACCAGTGCACGTGCCCCCCGATGCCCATCTGTCCCCATGAGGCTCCCTGTCTCCTTCTCTTTCCCACCCTCCTACATCTGGGAGGTCTCCCAGCACAGTGCTAGCCCCTTTCCCAACTGACTAAGGGGTGGATGAAAAGCCAGTGGAGAGGGCAGTGTGGAATGAAAAGGGACTGGCTGGTGGTGGCCACGAGCATGAGGTTGTCTGACCCATGGTGTACTGCAGGTACCTGGTGCAGGCAGGACAGGAGGACAAGGGACTGGTTGCAAAGCCACTGGGTGCCTTTGTGCGAGCAGTCGGCGGGAGGTCAGCAGCGCCAGGAGGAGGATCGGTGGCTGCAACTGCAGCCTCTCTAGTATGTGCCCTGTGCCACGGAGTCCCTGCTTGCTTGGGTGTTTCTCCAGGCACCTGGGGGCTCCTTGGTGAGGGAACCTGGCACAGTGCTAGTAGCAGGTGCGGTGTCCCAGTGGAGGACTTACTCCAATGCTTTCACAGGGAGCGGCCCTGGGCTGCATGGTGGGCTTGATGAGCTATGGGAAGCGGCAGTTTGAGCAGCTGGATCCCATCATGAGGAATGTGATCCCTCCCCTCCACCAGGCCATGGATGAGCTGGTTGCCATGGTGGATGCCGACTCCCGTGCCTTCAGCAGCTATATGGTGAGGTGTCACCAGCCACGGCCCTGCTTGTAGGCAAGGCGTTCCAGGAGGCAGCACTGCATCCTGATGCCCTTAGGAGCAGGGCTCATCCCCGCAGGGCTGGGGGAAGGTACATTACTTGGGGTGGAGTGACTAATGCACTGTTAGAATGTGTCCAGAAGAGGGCCACCAAAACGCTCCAAGGGATGCAACACTTCCATGAGTACAGGCTGGGAAAGCTGGTGGCTCTTCAGCCTGGAGAAGACCCTGAGGTGACCTGGTAGCAACCTTTCGTTATCTACAGGGGGCTGTGAGAGAGAAGGGGACAGATTCTCTAGCTGGGGCTGTTATGACAGGACAAGGGGAAATGGTTTCAAATTCAGAGAGGGGAGATTTAGACTGGGTATAAGAAAAAGTTTCTTACAGTGCGGGTGGTGAGGCACTGGCACAGGTTGCCCAGAGAGGTGGTGGATGCCCTTTCCATGGAGACATTCAAGGTCAGGCTGGATGTGTATCTGAGCATATGGAGCTGCAGGTGTTCCTGTGCATTGCAAGGGAGTTGGACTGGATGAATTTTAAAGGTCTCTTCCAATTCAATTGATTCTATGATTCTATAATTATATAATTCTATGAAGAGGTTCAGCATACTTTGGGAGCTAATGGTTCTGCCGTGGCCCCTGATGCACACGGGGTCTCAGAGCTCCCCTCACCCACCAAACTTGCTTTTCCTTGACTGCAGGAAGCTATGAAGCTGCCAAAAAGCACCCCTGAGGAGAGGGAAAGGTGAGTCAGATTGGCAAGGGCTTGCAATGGTAGTGGGAGCTTGAACATGAGCTTATACACAACAGCTGAGCAACCCAGGGCTTGTCTCAGCATTCACCAGGGGATGTCCCCTATCCCAGGCGAGCGGTCGCCATGCAGCAGGGGTTGAAAACAGCGGTGGAAGTGCCCTGCACCCTGGCAGTGAAGGTGAACAACCTCTGGTCCTCACTGAAGATGCTGGCGCACCATGGCAACCTGGCCTGCAAATCTGACCTTCAGGTACAGCCCCACACTCAGGAGCTTCCATGGCTGGTGGGCTCACATGTTGTTCTGGCTGGGGCTTTAAGGCTGCCTAGCTCATTGCTTGTCCACACAGGGTTCTCCACTGCTACTTGAAACCTATCCAGCTTTTCTTGCCAAAACAGGCCACTGCTTTCCATTTAGTAACTTTTTGGCAGCTTGCAAGCCTTTCAGGAAAGCTGTTCTGCATTATCCCTTGCCTGAATTTTCCCACCTGGCAAGATGGGAAGGTCATAAAATGTTTCCCATCATAGAAGCTGCATCTTGAAAATGCCAAACAAGGGGACATCGCTTTCCATAGCAGACAAACTGCAGCCTGAGGGTCTGCCCTGCTGCCAGACTGTGATGTGCTACTCTGTTTCAGTCAGTTTTCTAGAAGCCTCTTTTCACAGGTGGGAGCCAAAATGCTGGAAGCCGCTGTGTTTGGAGCCTATTTTAATGTCATGATCAATCTCAAAGACATAACAGATGAGAAATTCAAGGCTGAGGTAAGCAGGTGCTGCATTTGTGTCCCAGCCCTGGTAGTGTGGACGAGTCCAGGATCCCTGGGACTCTGTTCAGAGGGGCTTTGGGGGTTGTGGGCATAAGGGTACACTTGTGCCAGGGTAGAGACAGAGACACCACAAAGACTGGGGAGATTCATGGGCTGGGCGGATGACACACTATCTGTCCTTCAGACTGGAAATGATGCACCTTCTCCCTCCCCACGCAGACATCGCAGATGGTCACCGGGCTGCTGGAGGAGGCAAAGCAAGGCTCAGCACTTGTGTTGGCACTGCTGGAGAAACGAGAAGCTTGAAAGGATCTCAGGGCTGGGCCAGGGAATACACTGGGGATACACAAATACAGATGGGAAACATGCTTATTCCTGTCTGGGCTTCTTTGGCACCCATATCGGGGAAGCTGCTTCTCTTGGGCGGTCCCAGGGTTACGGTCCTGTTCTAGCCTTTCCTTGGCCAAGGATGATTTTCATTGCCCGGGGCTTGGACCTTGCATCTGTCCTCCCATCCATGGGGCAGAGGGAGTAGGCTGGGCTGGCGGTGCCATGGGAATCCTGTGGGTGGCAATGGCTGGGACCCCATCATGCTGCCTGGATGGAGATGGCTGGGCACCTAATAGCCCTTACCATCCAACTTGTCTCTCTGACCAGAAAACTCCCTGAGACACTCTGTGAGACTGCGGCAAGGCCGGGCACTGGGGCCACACACCTTTCTGTGCAGTCTTCTTGGCAGTGAGCGAATGGGCCCACTGAATCACTCAGTGCTAAGGGAGGGCATGCTGCCAAGCACAGGGCAGCACCAAGCAGTCAGCAGGAGGAAGGAGGGTGTTACTGGGAGGCGACTGTGGAGCTCTTCATAGCCCCCTGGAAAGGAAGATCCAAGCATGGGTGGCTTAGCCTCTGTCAGCCCCATGATCGAGGCTGTTGCTGGGTCTGAAGGCAGACATCACCTCCTCTGCAGAGCAGACTGAGCTCGACCTGCTCAGGAGGTGGATGCTGGGGAGAGCCCACCATCCCCGGCTCTGGTCCTTGGCAGTGATACAGGGGGCTGACAGCAGTGCCCTGCGCCCACTGTCCTGCAGCAGGCCCAGCAGGACATGACCCCCGTGCCTCCCCCGCACACAGCACCCACGTTGGGTGCAGCGCACCAGGGTTCATGGCAGGGACGCCTGACTCACCCCATCACCTGACACCATGTGATTGATCAGCCCTGCAGACCTTTGTGCTGGGTGGGAGAGAAGTGCTGACGTTTACCCCGTGCCCATGGTGACCGCCGCAGCACCGGGAGTGGTGCTGCCAGTTTCATTGCTCCGCTTGCCCGCCGCACCTTCCTCGCCCAGGCAGGGCTCCGTATTTAACGGGTGCCTGAGGGCTGGGCCCACTGCTTCAGGAGAGCCACACCAAGGACGGCCAGCAGGACTGCGGTGCTCTCGGAAGGAACTGATCTGCGGGGTGGTAGGTGAGCAGAGCTGATCCCTGACATGGCCGAGACTGCTGGAGACAGGGGCACTGGGGGGTACCAGGGCTGGTGCGGGGACAGGATGCGATTTCCTCAGTGCCCGTCTTGCTCTGCAAGGACACGGGTTGCACATGTGAGCTTAGGTCGTGTTGTATCGGATTTGGTGCATAATTTCCATTAATGATGGAAAACAAGTGCCGGGGGTTGGGCAGTGAGTGCCTGGCACTCAGCATCCTCAGAAAGGATGGGGTGGTTGTGGGAACCTGCAGTGGGAGAAGTGTCATTTCTGTGCCTGGAGCATGTGGACTGCAACTGGGCTTGTGGCCAGTGGCCAGGTGTGCAAAGGTAGGGGCCAAATGGTAGCCTGTGTGCTGTGGTGAAGCACTGACATTTCCTGTCCTTCCTTTGCAGCTTGGAGTCAATAGAGGATGTGGAACGCTAGCCAAGGTGAGCAGCCACAGGGCTAGGGCTGGTCTGTTGGTGCCACGCAGTCACTGGGGCTTGGGAAAAGGCCTGAGGGATTACTTGTGTTCCAGAGGGGAGGGGAACATCACCTGTGAGGTGGGCATAAACCAGGCGGGATGCTTTGAGTGCATGGGTACACCAGCTCCATGCATTGCCTTTCCAAGGAATGCCTGGCTTATCTGACTTGTAATCCCCCTCTTTCTCCTAGGCACACCACCACCACCGCAGATGCAAGTCTGCCCACCTGCCCCTCCGAATTGCCAGTACCCTGGGCCCAGCAACCCTTGCTACCCAGCAGTGCCACCTGGCCCCCCTGGGACCTGCCCCCCAGGGCCCCATCCACCTGGCCCTCACCCACCAGGCCACCACCACCATGGTCACCACTCACCAGGCCACCACCACCACGGCCACCACCACCATGGGCATCCCCCACATGGGCCACCAGGATGCCCACCAGGGTGCCCACCAGGCCACCATGACTGCCATCAGAAGCACAAGAAGAAGCACAAGAAGAAGCACTCCAAGTGTTCCCACAAGCACCATGGAGGCAAGGTATGGTTGCAGCAGATCCCCAGCTCTCTGTTGTGGTCTTGTGTGCTCCCCCTCTGCCCCAGACCAGCTAGAGTGGGTGGTTAATGGCTTTTTTTTGTTGCTTTGGAGACTCCCTTTTGGTTTATAAATAGGCAAGCATGTGCCATTTCAAATCAGACTTTTGAAACCTGATACCTGGAATTCCCTGAAGCAATTCTAAACAGCAGATTGATGCAGCTCAGGGTGCACCATACAATGTGTTAAATCAAATTCTTTGGACAGCAAGTACCTCCTTGTCTCTGCTGGGCGGATATGCTGCAGTGCTCTCCTAATGACAAATCTGGATAGGACTGAGTGAAGGACTGTAGAACAAAACCCCAAATCCACCATCTGAGGCAGGAGCATTTCCCAAATGAAGCAAATCCTCAGTTCCTTTTGGTGTTTGATTGCTTAGAGGGTGATCTACCTTGACATTTGCCTTTGCTGGCAGAGACCAGAAACTTTCCAGAATTTAATTGAGCTGAACAATCTTGAAAAATAATGATTACAAACCAGTCCTCCAGCAGCATTTGCATAATTATATTTGCCAAGTGTTATGACAGAAAAATAATGATTTCCAGCTCTACAATATAGTATGTAACAGCACTGCAATAAACATTATGATCATGCTATTAGTAATCCATTTTATCGTAATGGCAAGACAGCCCAGCACATGTTTGTTGCCCTGGGCCCAGTAACAACACTGGTAATTACCAGGCTTGCAGTTCATCCAGTGTACACACCTGAGGGAACACCTTTTGGTGGTGTGCAAAGACTCTCAGCTGGGCTGAGGTGAGACTACAGCCACCATGGGTGTGCATTGCAGCTGCTGCCAGCTCAACCTGAACTAAGCTGGGCACTGGGAATGGGCATCCAGCTCGTTCCAGGCAGCAGCTGGAGGTGGTGGGCATGTCGCACTGAGGGGGTGGGGGGCTGTGGGAGCCCAGCTGGGACTGGGCAAGTCCCTCAGCCTCACGCCTGCAGCCGCGAGCTCCTATTAGAAGCGGTGTGGAAGAGGGTTGTTTCTGTGCTGTCCTGAACTGGCTTTACCTCCTCCTCCAGCACTCAGGCAGCTCAAGCAGCTCAAGCAGCTCTGATTCTGACTGAAGAGAACATCTCCTGCCTGTGTGGAGGTGAACCCCGAGGAGACAATAAACGAAGACAAATGCCCCGCAAGAGCCACCTACTCGTTGTGCTGCCCCATTCTCCCTTCTCTGCAGCCTGCATTTTGCCTGTTGGTGATCTTCTCGCTTTTTGTTTGTAAATTCTTTGCCCTGGAATTGTTGTAAATAAAGGAACAGAAAAGCTTGGCCTCTGTCTTTATTGAGAGGGGCTCACATCCCACCTCCACACTGAGACCCGTTCCCGTGACTGTGAGTAACAGCACAAGGAGTTTTGTGGGCTGGTTTGCCCCCTGTGGTTGGTTATCCCTCTGCAGTGCTGCAGCCGTCTCTTGTCTGTAAAGCAGCTCACTGCAGCTCTCCTTTCCAGTGCAGGGAAAGCACAGCAGCGATGCTGCAGCAGACAAGGCCACGGCACCCCACTGCTTTACCCCCCCCCTCTGGCCCTGACTCATGGCCTTCCCTGCAGCTGCCCTGCCAGCTCCTCTGCTCCTCGCACAATTCATACCTGGACATCTCCTCATCCCCGTGCCACCTCCATCAGTGAGCACCCAGCCTGTGGTGCCAGCTCCTGGAGCCATGCTGGGCTGTAGGCCTGCAGCAGGAGTGGTGTGTGTTCCAAACCAGCTCTACCAGCAGGAGAGGACTCTCACCTACCTTGTCTGCTTCAGCTGTCCTCCCCAGGGCAGCCCTTGGCAGGCACAGCCTGCGTGACTGGTTGTGCCAGTGTCCTGTTGGCATGGCTGTGTCTCTCTGGGCTACATGCTTTGCTACTGGTTGAATCTGCAAAGGGGAAGGCAGCAGTGGCTTCCTCAGCCTGGGCAGAGATGCCAGGGTCCAATGTGTTGGCAATAGGGCACAATTTTATAGACATCTCATTTTCTTCACTGTCTTCATTCCCCATCTCCTCTAATACCATCATTTTATCTGAATGTGGTGTTTTCCCCACTGCTGTTTGCTTCAGTAGTGCTGTCTCAATCAATCCCTGTCCCGGTCCCCTCACACTGGGGATAACACAGCAACCGATGGCTGTCAGGCTCCTGCTACTGTAATCAGAGAAGTGAATATGAGTACAATCAGCCCTTTCCATTTACCAAAGCGGGACTCCAACACCCAGTGATAGAAGTATCTACCCCTGCATTTTCTGCCAATTCATCGGCAAGGGTGGTAAGCCCTTGCAGTGCCTCAGTTCTTGTGCCATCCAGAGCTGTGTTTCTGGGGATGAAGGTGCAACAACGGGTACAAAGCATTACACACACCTCCCCTTCCTCTGCTAGCATCATGTCTAGGATGATCCTATTTTCCCAGACCGTCCTACTTGTGGCTTCTCACTCTTCTGCATTTCCCTTTATTACGCTCTTTGTATAATTTCTAAATTGCTGTTGATTTTAATAGATGTAGTTAATTCAATCTACACTCTTGTTGATCGACAGCAACAAGAACAGTGACTCAAACCCTGCAGCAATTTAATTTCTCATCTTCAATTTGTCAGGGAAGTCAAGAAGTGGAGAATTAAAACTGTTGGCTGGCCCACATGATATTAGCATACTTTGCAGTGTTTTTCACAAGAGATATGTAAGCATTTGCATCAAAAGCCACACTTGTCGAATTAACATTTCTAATGATTACAAGAGCCCATATTACTGTCCTTGGATTCACAATTTCAGAGGTCCAGCTGACTTTGATTCCCACTGTGTTTGAGGGACCTTCTTGAATCTGGGATGATGTATCTACAGTGCTTGTTCTTTAATTCTGACTGTTGTCTGGGGTGTTAGCAGTATCGGGAACGGAACTTCCTACCTTGGCTCCAGGGGTGAGTCTGAAAGAGATCTTATATATACACATAATCTCCTGGTAAAATATCGCGTATTGAGCTGTCAAGGCCTTGGACTCCGGTCTCTCTGTTTCCCAAAGGTATTTGTGTAGACTTATCACATACTCAGTATTTCACCCCTTACCTGGGTAGAAATCCCCATAAGGCACAACGTAAGGACTTCCATACAGAATTTTGCAAGGACTTTACCCCTCTCTGGTTCTAGGTTTCATTCTGATTCTCAGGAGAGCCAGAGGCAATGCCTGTGGCCAGGATAGTCCATCCTCATGGCCCAGTTGTACAACCTGTGATCTAATCACAGAATCACAGAATGGCCCACATTGGAAGGGACCGCAAGGACCATGAATATCCAACCTCCCTGCCACAGGCAGGGCCACCAACGTCCCCGCTTCACACCAGCCCAGGCTGCCCAGGGCCCCATCCAATCTGGCCTTGAACACCTCCAGGGATGGACGGGCATCCACAGCCTCTCACAGGTGTTCCAGCACCTTACCACTCTCTCTGTAAAGAGCTTCCTCCTGACATCCAACCTCAATCTTCCCTCCCTCAACTTCAAACCATTTCCCCTTGTCCTGCTGTTACCTACCCTTTCAAAGAGTTGATTGCCCTCCTGTTTGTAGGCTCCATGTACTGAAAGGCTGCAATGAGGCACAACCTTCTTTTCTCCATGCTGAACAAGCCCAGCTCCCTCAGCCTGTGTTCGTAGGGGAGGTGCTCCAGCCTTCTGGTCATCTTTGTGGCTCCTCTGCACCCTCTCCAATAGCTCCCTGCCCTTCTTGTACTGGGGGCTCCAGACCTGGACACAGTACTGCAGATGGGGCCTCGCAAGAGCAGAGTATAGGGAGACAATCACCTCCCTGCCCCTGCTGGCCACCCCTCTTCTGATGGAGCCCAGGATACCATTTGCCTTCCGAGCTGCAAGAGCACACTGCTGGCTCACGTTCAGTTTTTCATCCATCAGGACCCTCAGGTCCTTCTCTGCAGGGCTGCTCTCAAAGGCTGCTCCTTCCAGTCTGTATGGATACCTGGGTTCCCAAGACAGACCCCTGGGGGACGCCGCTCGTTACCGGCCTCTACCTGGACACAGAGCCATTGATGACCACCCTCTGTCTGCGGCCTTTCAACCAGTTTCTTATCCATCGAGTGGTCCACCCATCAAATCCACATCCCTCCAGTTTGGAGATAGGGATGTGGTGGGGGACCATGTCAAAGGCCTTGCTCAAGTCCAGGTAAATGACATCGGTCGCCTTTCCCTTGTCCACCGATGCCTTCACTCCATCATAAAAGGCCACCAGATTGGTCAGGCATGACCTTCCTCTGGTGAAGCCGTGCTGGCTGTCACGGATCACACGCCCTTTCCTCATGTGCTCAAGCATGTCAGCCAGGATGATCTGTTCCATGATCTTCCCAGGCACAGAGGTGAGACTCACCGTTCTGTAGTTGCCGGGGTCCTCCTTGCTCCTTTTCTTGTAAATGGGAGTGACGTGACCCTTCATACAGGATCACACCTGACAGCCACAACTTCTCAAATATGATGGAGAGCAGCTCGGCAACCACCTCAGCCAGCTCCTTCAGAACCTGGGATGCACGCCATCCGGCCCCATAGACTTGTACACATTCAGTCTCATCAGGCGGTCTCGGACCTGCTCTGTCCTCACAGCGGGGGGGGATTTACCACCCCGGTCCCCACCCAGAGGTGTAGGGATGCAGGGCTCGGGGATGGGAGAAGTACTGGAATCCTGGCCGCCAGTGAAGACTGAGGCAAAGAACTCACTCAGTACCTCAGCCTTCTCTCCATCCGTTGCAGCCAGTTCTCCTTTTACATTTACCAAAGGAGGTACACTTGTTTTGGCCTGTCTCTTTTGGCCAGTGTACCTGTAGAAAGTCTTCCTATTGTCTTTCACATCCCTCGCCAAGTTCGGTTCTGCCTGTGCCGTGACTTTCCTGATCCCACGTCTGCAAGTCCGGATGGCCTCCCTGTGTTCTTCCCAGGTGACACGGCCTTGTTTGCAGAGCTTGAGTGCACCTTTCTTTGCCCTCAGCACGCCCAGCAGGGCCTTGCTGAGCCACGCCGGCTTCCCCCCTCCTCTGCCTGCTTTCTTCTTCAGAGGGACAGAGAGCTCTTGCGCCCTCAGGAAAGGCATCCTTCAGGTGGTTCATCCCTTCCACCTGGCTGCTTGCCTGTGGTCTGTGTGGTTTGTGCGATTGCCGGTCCATTCCCAATAGCCTGCTGACCTGTTGGACAATCTTTGCAGTAAAGTGAGTTTCCTGGTTGGAGGATATTGTTGCAGCAACCCCAAGCCTTGGGATCAATCTCCTGCAACAATACTTTGGTCACTTCTTTGGCTTTATTGGTCCTGCAAAGGAATGCTTCTGGCCACCCGGGGAGGGTACTGGTTCAAACTAGCATATAGCAACAGCCTCCTTTTTATTAAACAAAAACCAAAAAACCTCTTTATCAATCAATTTGCCTTTGTTGCCTGGAAGGTTCCTTTTCCTAATAGGCCCCACTTCCTGGTTACTCGGATTGTACAATTACTTTCTGATGTCTGCCCCCCAGTATGTTTCATTATGTTCCCTTAGAACCGATTTCCACAGAATACTAAAGGGCACAACGACGTGTCCATCTGGGTACGCACCCATCTGTCAGCTTGCTCTCTTCCCTCTTAAACCATTAATTAGATTCCTGTCCCCTCTAGAATACTTGACAGCTTCTGACTCAGGTTCAGATATTTTCAGTTTACTGTCTGGAATTAAAACCAGTTCACCAATTTCGTTTCCTTCAGCTGCCTGTTTTGCCACCTGATCCACCATCAGATTTCCAGTCTCCTGTGCAGTGTTACCTTTCGGATGTCCTTTACACTGCACAACAGCCATTCAGCATGACATAACCACACTGAATCTGTGTTCCTTGTGTGTGAGCAACCCTTTCTCTTTCCAGATGGCACCATGAGCTTATACCACCCCAAAAGATATTGTCATGGTTTTATGTTTTTTGATTTTCAGTATTCCACATCAAAACATCACGTACTGGAATTAAAGTGTTAATGCTCCAATTCCAGGTACCTATCCCGATACATCACAGAAGGGATCTGTCCCTTCTGGTTGGGTGCTCTCTTACTGCCTGGAGGTGCTTTCCAAGCCGTTCCAAGCTTTTCAGGTTTGACTCGGTCTCAGGAACTCTCTCTCTCCTATCTTATTGGATTTATTAGTCTCAATTTCAATTAGATTGTATTATACTGTATTATTTTGCATTCCGATATCATAGTTAGTACAATAAGTTTACCTCCATAGATTGTTGCTGCTGTTTTTTTTTCCTCCCTTCCTTCCTTCACACTCTGTGGGGCTGGGGGGGGGGGGGGGGGGGGGGGTCAGGGGCCTACTGCCCCCTGTCACGGGCATAGATTGATCTAGTTAGCTCCATGACAGATGTTTCCAGTTTCTTATTCAATATTCCCCCTGGCTCACCAGCAACATCTCTCCTATGAGTCAAAATGCAACCCAGGGGGTCTTTTCGGTATCTCTTCAGACACCCCTTGTCCAATAACAGCTTCCTAGGAAACGCTTTCACACCATAAACATTTAACAACCACAAAGACAGTGAGAAGAACCAATACGGTTTATCTTTGGGATCCTTCCTCTCCCCACCTCCCTCCAGGCTCCAACCTTCCTTCTGTGTTCCTTTCCCACTCTTGCATAACTAATCATGCCTAATCACGCCTCTTTCTTCTCCAGCAAACAACATACCCACGATAAACAGAATTTCCATCCACGAGTAGAAATTGGGTCCTAGAAATTGATCTGCTTCTCTGATAGGATCCTCCATAAAGGGATTTGTTTCCTTCTTGAAACTCCTCACCTTTCTGCTAGTAAGAAGGGGAAGGACATTAACATCTTGTTTACATTGCTCCAATTCCCTCAGTTATTGAGAATGTGCCCTCTCTCCAGGACCCTGCACGGGATCAGCAGCACGGCCATTCCCCACCTCTGCAAAGACCGCTGCCACTTGCATTGCTTTAGAAGTTGAAGGGGGGAGCAACTTCCCTACAGGATCCCATTTACGACCTTCCTGCTCCTCTCCTTTTTCTTTTGAACTTTGACTCCCTCTTGTGAGGAGCTCTTTGACTTCTTGCACCCATTAAGCGGCATGAGCTGATTCTGTTTCAGAGAAACAAGTCTTAATGTTTACATATAAATCCAAAGCCTGACAAACCCAACCTTCATCAGACCCACATTTTGGTCAAAACAATGATTTTCCCTCTAGTGGCTCTCTTGGCCATGTCTGTACACAATATTTAAGCACCTTTTTCCTGCCCTTGTCCCTAGTTCTGGATTATTTGTCCAATGCAGAAGCGTCTTTCCCAAGGGACTATCTCTAGACACGACTTCGGGGACCCTTTTCCCTGCTCTTAGGAGCTCCTGTTCCCCATCCCTCCTACTGTGAACTCCCCAGCTCACAGGTTACCACACTCCGATGCTCAGATTCAGGGCCAATCCCTCCGGATCAATATTTTTCTAAATATCTTGTTAGTTCTTATCAAGAAACAACATTCCATTCCTGCAACTTGTCATCAAGGACCTCACATTCCTACGGGTTCTGCGTTTCTCCCTGAAGTTTGCAAACAAAGTTACATTTCCTTGATTCGCCATAATAACCTTTTATATTTCCTCAGTCAGCAGTGCTCTGGGACCACTGTCCTGCAGCAGGCCCAGCAGACGTGACCTCCGTGCCTCCCCCGCACACAGCTCCCACGTTGGGTGCAGCGCACCAGGGTTCGTGCTTCACCCCATCTCCGGAAAGCACGTGACTGATCGGCCCTGCAGACCTTTGTGCTGTGTGGGAGAGCAGTGCAGAAGTTTACCTGGGGGGAGCTGGGAGTGGTGCTGCCAGTTTCATTGCTCCGCAGTGTCACCCCTGCCTGCCGCACCTTCCTCGCCCAGGCAGGGCTCTGTATTTAATGGGTGCCCAAGGGCTGGGCCCACTGCTTCGGGAGAGCCACGCCAAGGACGGCCAGCAGGACTGCGGTGCTCTCGGAAGGAACTGATCTGCGGGGTGGTAGGTGAGCAGAGCTGATCCCTGACATGGCCGAGACTGCTGGAGACAGGGCACTGGGGGGTACCAGGGCTGGTGCGGGGACAGGATGCGATTTCCTCAGTGCCCGTCTTGCTCTGCAAGGACACGGGTTGCACATGTGAGCTTAGGTCGTGTTGTATCAGATTTGGTGCATAATTTCCATTAATGATGGAAAACAAGGGCCGGGGGTTGGGCAGTGAGTGCCTGGCACTCAGCATCCTCAGAAAGGATGGGGTGGCTGTCATTTCTGTGCCTGGGGCATGTGGATTGCGGCTGGGCTTGTGGCCAGCGGCCAGCTGTGCAAAGGCTGTGGTGAAGCACTGATGTTTCCTGTCCTTCCTTTGCAGCTTGGAGTCAGTAGAGGATGCCGAAATCTTGCTTTGGTGAGCAGCCACAGGGCTAGGGCTGGTCTGTCAGTGATACGCACTCACTGGGGCTTGGGAAGAGACTCAGAACAGCCACCAGACACCCTGTGTGTGCCAGAGGGGAAGGGGGTATAAACTGTGAGGTGGGCATAAACCAGGTGGGATGCTTTGAGTGCATGGGTGCACCAGCTCCCTGCATTGCCCTTTGAAGAAATGTCTGGCTCTGATGACTTGTAATCCCCCTCTTTCTCCTAGGCAAATCACGATCATCACCGAAGCAAGTCTGCTTGTCTGCCCCTCCGAATTGCCAGTACCCTGGGCCCAGCAACCCTTGCTACCAAGCAGTGCGTCCCTGCACCTCTGGGACCTGTCTCCCAGGGCCCCCTCCGCTTGGGTGCACACTGGGACGCTGCCTGGGACCCTGCCTGTGTGCCTACATGTGTACTGATGTGTGTGCCAACCTGTGTGCCAACCTGCGTGCCCACCTGGGCACATACCTGTCTGCACACCTAGGTACACACCACTCCCCGACTTCTGAAGAAGCATTCCAAGAGCTACCACAAGCTACACTGAGGCAAGGTATGTTTGCAGCAGATCCCCAGCTCTCTGTTGTGGTCATGTGTGCTCCCCTCTGCTCCTGACCAGCTTGAATGGGTGGTTAATGGCTTTTTTTTTTGTTGCTTTGGAGAATTCCTTTTGGTTCATAACTAGGCAAGTATGAGCCATTTCAGATGAGTGTTTTGAAACCCGATACCTGGAATTCCTTGAAGCAATTCTAAACAGCAAATTGCTGCAGCTCAGGGTGCGCCATGCAGTGCCACACTGAGGGGGTGGGGGGCTGTGGGAGCCCAGCTGGGACTGGGCAAGTCCCTCAGCCTCACGCCTGCAGCCGCGAGCTCCTATTAGAAGCGGTGTGGAAGAGGGTTGTTTCTGTGCTGTCCTGAACTGGCTTTACCTCCTCCTCCAGCACTCAGGCAGCTCAAGCAGCTCAAGCAGCTCTGATTCTGACTGAAGAGAACATCTCCTGCCTGTGTGGAGGTGAACCCCGAGGAGACAATAAACGAAGACAAATGCCCCGCAAGAGCCACCTACTCGTTGTGCTGCCCCATTCTCCCTTCTCTGCAGCCTGCATTTTGCCTGTTGGTGATCTTCTCGCTTTTTGTTTGTAAATTCTTTGCCCTGGAATTGTTGTAAATAAAGGAACAGAAAAGCTTGGCCTCTGTCTTTATTGAGAGGGGCTCACATCCCACCTCCACAGAGACCCGTTCCCATGACTGTGAGTAACAGCACAAGGAGTTTTGTGGGCCGGTTTGCCCCCTGTGGTTGGTTATCCCTCTGCAGCGATGCCAGCTGCTGTCTTGTGGAACTCCTTAATGCTGTCTGATGTTCCCCAGCTGTTGCAGAAGGGCTGGCTGGAGAATAAAGTAACTCCCCTCATGCAGAGCTGCATGAGTTTCCATCCTGTTTGCAAGGCTGTGTGCGTTTGGGGGGGGGGGAGTTGGGATTTGCTACTTTGGCTGCACATCCCTCCCAGGACAGCTCCTGTCTCACCTCGGACTGGATGCAGCCGTCTCTTGTCCTTAAAGCAGTTCCCTGCAGCTCTCCTTTAGTCGCTGAGTTGCTTCCTCAGCCTGGGCAGAGATCCCAGGGTCCACAGTCTGGTGTGGAATTTGGCCAAGCAGGAGCCGTCCTGGGGTAGAGCAGCTTTAGGAGGTGGCCATGCTCATTGCTCTTTACTGTCCTTCACAGTCCTTACCCACAGCCCTGAGCCAAAGAACATGAAGCAGGTGATGAATGATGTCTGCCTCTGTCACACTGAGAGAGACTAGTCCAGATGGGCACTGTGAGCATGGCAATGGGGCAATGAGCAGGTCTGTAAGACAACTGGAGGCACAGGACAGTGAGCTGGAGGGCTCCCATGATACTCCTGTGGTCCTCTGGGAATTCGGCAGTGCCCTGTGATCCTCTCCTGCAGGGACCCTTGGCCCTGTGCTCCCACATTTGTGAGGAGAAGCAGAAAACAAACTTACCTTCATTTATTAGCTTAATGCAAGGAGAACTACCTGCTCATTAAAAATAAAAATTAAGGTAAAAAAAAAAAAAAAAAGAGGGGAAAGAAAAAAAAAAGGAGGTAGAAGGAAAGGAGAGAAGACAAACTATGGAATGAAGAGTCTTTTTTGGAATAGGGTGAAAAGAGTTTATTTGTTTATTTTTGCAGACAGCACAATTCAAGTTCAAATCTGGGAACTGCTCAGCAGATTGGTGAAAAGAAGGCACCATGGTTACTTTGAGCACTTTGGGGTGACACCAGGGCAGCTCCCTGTGCTGCACAGTATTTTGTGAGGTGCTGGGAGGTACGCTGCCTCTCTCAGCCAGGATTTAAGGTGCTGTAATAAATGAACAGGTTCTGGTGAAAGTTGGACAGAAAGAAGCAAAGGAGGCAGAGCCCGCAGGAAAATGCAGGTCTTTAAGTTGGCCTGTGAAATGTAGGATTGATAGAGGACCAAAAGGAACACCTGCAGATAGCTGCTGAAGGCAGCAAAAATTCTAACCATGCTGCTGCTTCCACAAAAAGGAGCAAGCGATGAAGGGCGATGCAAAAAGAAAGTAAGTGCTGTCCATTTCAATCAGCACAAGATTTGTCATAAACTTGCTCAGTCCTCTCAGGGGCAGAAGTCCCAAGAGAACAAAAAGGATGATATAATCAGGAAAAGGGCTCGCTAAAGAACGGGCAATGTCAAAACGTAGAGCTCCTGAAAGGATGCTGAGAATTTCTGAACGCAGGAAGTGATCATCTGTCCTGCTAAACTGGAGGGGCTTCTTGCTTCTCTGATAAGCCCTCCTGGGATAACAGCAGATACACAAGGCATAACTTGGTGTGTGCAAAGCTTTACAGACGTACTTCATATGGCTCTGTATCCTGTTTAGATCTTGGATTTAATTAGCACCATAAATGTAAGATATGCGACTTCATCACAAAACTCGAAAAAGAGGTCTGGATTTTGGTTAGAGACGAGGACCCAGAAGGTAGCTGTGTATAAACTGTTCTGGGCCAGCTCAGAGTTGCTAGCAACCATACAGAGAGAAGAAAATAGAACAGGTAATATTTGGGGGGGGTGTATGCTGGTGACAGGAGGACGTGTGCACTCCACTCAACTAACATATCCACCTAATGAACCTGTCAAAGAAGCTTGGCTGGGAGAGGCTTTCATAGTCCTTCTCCCGGAAGATGGCGGCCCGATCTCCAAGGCCAAGCTTCAGCAGGACATCCATGTCTACGTCACTCCCAAGAGCCACCACTGTGGGCATGACGTCTTGCTTCTTCATGGAATTGATGGCCTCCTCAAGGTTCTTGCTCCCTGTGATGCCGTCAGTGATGAAGACGAAGGAGAGTTCAGCATTGCGCCGAGCGACTCGCTGACCATTTCCTGAGCTGAGCACAATGTTGTTGATGGCATGTATGATGGCTGACCCAATGTTGGAGGATGAGTCCAGGTACTTGATCTGAGCCAGGGCGTTGGAGATTTCGGTCAGGTTGTAGGTGAGTGGGAAGACCACATTCTGCTCTCTCTCACTGCCGTACTGCAGCAGCGCAATCCGCGCATTCATGTTGTCATCGTTTCTCCTGGCCAGCGTAAGCTGTTGGGCAACCTGCTCCACAAAGTGGTGGGCCCTGTGGAAATTCTGCTCCCCAATTCTTTCAGAGCCATCGAGCAAGAAGACAATGTCAACGGGGCGCTGTGTGCACTGGGCTACTGCAAGCTCTGCAGGAGAAACAAAAAAAAACAAAGTTGGGAGCATAAGAAAGCCTACTGGAGAAAGCTGGGCCGTGCCTTGTGCAGCTTGGGCTGGAGTCACGAGGTCTTAACGAATTGTAATTCTGAGGGCTAAGACAAGCATCCAAGCATTAAATAGCTCAGCACATTTTGTGTATTTCAGCTGTAGAGTTACACCCACTTTCAAAGAGCAGTGCTACTATCTAAAAGGGAGGTTAATAGCACACAGTGCTTTAATACCTCTCAGTAATTTCTTATGGAGTGGCTTACTTTCAGGGTTCCTCTTTGCACAAATCTTTGTAGGGTGAAAGCTGATTTCATAACCTGCACCCAAATTTGTTTAATCAGCTGTCACTAATTCCTGAGGAGATTATAAAGGTCAAGAAGTACGTTTAGAAAACAAGAATCTCTTCCTGTTGGCTCACCTGTCATAAAGCAGCTTTTTAAATAAGCTTTAAAATAAAAAAGACCAGTATTTGAATGAAACACGTTGGAAGATTATCCTTCAGTCACTCAGAACAACACAAAGCAGGCAGTGAGTGATCTCAGAAAAAAAGGCAGAAGAAAATGGCAGTATTTCGAGTCTGCTGTTAGTTATGAACAATTCTTTTGTCCTTGTGCAGTACTTATGTGTAATGCATTTGATGTCTGTCTGCATTCCCAAAAAACAGTTCCGTATCTTCTTAGGTGGTTCTTCTTCCATTCTAGTGATTGAGTTTCCTTCTCTATGAAAGACCTAGTCAGAAATGCGATTACAATGTCAGTGCTGACAAGTGATGTGCATGACATACACCCCACGAGGTATTCCTCCATGGTGGGCAGCAGGGCAACAGCACTGTTATGCCCTGTAGAGCAGTTCTGTCTTGCTCACTCTGAATCCCAGAAGGGTGAAGTGCTGGAGCACATGCCATGTAATGCTGCACGACTGGCAAGGACCAGGTGATTCCGGAGCAGCTCCAACCTGAGCACCCATTTCTGGCACTGAGGGACAGCTTTTATGATAGTACTATCACATTCCATTTCCATATAGTGAACAAATCCAACTTAACAAAGTGCTTCCTCAGTGCTGAGCGCTGTTTTACCCGGGGCTGCATTCAGCATGGCGAAGTGCTGAAACAAAGCATGTTGTAGCTGTGTGTGTGAGCTGAACAACAGAGCATGAGACTACAGAGCAGACAACATCAATTCAACAACACGGGACATGGCTCCCAGCGCAGCACAAACCCTGACAGTGCATAAGGTTGAGTTCACGGACTACTGACACCACTTTTATCCATGATAAAACACCTGGTGCAGGAACTTCTAGCACATGTGGTTTATCCAATCTTGCTGGGCATTGCAAAAATTTGCAATTGCTTTTGTTTCACATTCCCTGACAATGCAGACCTGTGTTTCTTCTTAGCCCCTCCACACTGTAAAATGTATCTATATGGTGGCATGTCTTGAACTGTGCTTGCTGTGCACTGACTTACTGTAAAGAGCAGACTTCTGCAGTGTCAATTATGTCTTAAGGAGAAAGCAGTCTCTGAGTGACGCTATTTTTCCACATGAGTTTTTTGAATTTCATATCTCCAAATTCAACTTGCAATACTTTTTTCCTTTAAAGCAATAAAGTTATGTACTCACCTGTTTGAGACACGATGTCTATAGGTACATTGATGCTGCAGTTCCCAGTTTACAAGTGCTGCTGCTACAAGGACATTTTGCCTTGGCAGTGCCTGCACCAGTGAACTCCATGTGCTCCCCTGCTCTGTGCAGTCATGAAAGGGAAAGGTGGAGAGGCATACCCCCTTCAAACACCTGAAGGCTGGGTAGGGTCTACAAAAGCATGGAAGCTAGTGGATGGAAGAGAGGCCTGCATATTGTGCCAGAGAAGTGTTACCAGTCCATCTCCCCGTTGCTTGTCTATGTTTTGGCTACAAGCACGTGCTACCCTCTCCCACCCTAAATTTACCTACAGAAAATGCTAGGAGCTCCTAGTTAAGCACACATCAGCATCACTCCACGAAGCTTCAGCAATAGCATGGAATAACAGAATCACAGAACGGCTTGAACTGGGAAAGGACCTTAAAGACCTCCAATCCTCTCCCATTCTCCCTCCACTCCTCACCCCATCCTCCCCCCACCACAAGATCAGGTTGCTAGAAGATGCATAATGCATGGCTGGCTCTCCAGGCAGTTCTCTACTTGTGTCTACTGCAGGAGTGCTCCCCAGAGAAACTCCTCATATTGGCCAGTGCAGTGGCTGCACAACCTTGGGTTTGTCCTGTTCAGTATCATGCTTCAGTTGTACTTTGCTCTCACTTCTGAGGGGCATGGACCCAAGTTCCCTTTCCTGCAGCAAGAAGCAAAATTCTTCTCCTTAACTGCAGGTGGCTGAAGTGGTTAAGCACCAGCGCAGATTAAGCCAACTAAAATCTTCACATCATGCTTTTAACCGGAGCACTAATCCTGCTGGTGCTGCTTAGAGCAAAGCTTGCAACTCACTGCACCGCATACTGACTGCCAGAAACAGCTGAGGCTGACAAAAGCAGCACAAAAAGCAGAACTGCAGAAATAACATCCATTTTCCTGCCATCAGTAATGACATGTGTGTGCAGAGTAGCCCCACCCATTCACACTGTGTTCCTCCAAATTCAGACATGTCAGTTGCACCCAGCAGGCTAAGTCACATGCTGATCATAGGGTAAAAATACCTAATCCCCACAAATATCACACTGTCTGTCACTGGACAAATTCTAACTTAGACTGACAAGCCCAAGATTTCAAAATAAAACTGTAAAATGTTCAAACTGGGCAAGCTCTTTGTTCCAGTTGTTTCTGAGCTTGGCTATGGTATGGCAACTGGCTCCCCTTCACACACCTTACAACAGAGTTCATTACAGCCCAACCACACTTCTGAAAACTGTGAATCTCAATTCTGCTCATGAAATATGACATTTGCTCAGTATAGTTTATTGCAATAACACCACGTCAGATAGAGAGGCTGCAAAATCCACTTGCTGGCAGTAAACACTTTTGCAGGGAGCAATAGTTACTCTGGAGGCACAAAAGGCAATCATCTGTCTGACTTTTTCTGAAAATCAGTGGTAACAGAGTGCATGGAAATATCCCTCCTCATCTAAACAACCTACCCACAGCACAAATGGTGGCTCTATAGTCTCCCTGAACCAAACTAGCACTGAGTATGGATTCCATTGACTGTACTACATCAAGTTTAAATACTTGCTTTTAAATAGCTTATGTAACATACCACAGAGTTTTGTGCAACTGTGAATTTTTGCTTTGGACTTTCTGGTCCTATATTACCTCTGTCTCCTGGATATGAATAAGCACACGTTGTGAATTAAGATGAAAGAAATGCAAGTGCACAAGCAAAGGTGCACACAGTATATACACCTTCTGACAGAAGAACAACTCAAGTTTTGCTTCTCACCATGGAAAGGCGGGGGTTACCCTTCTCATACTCCTTGCTCTTCCTTTCAGAACCCTTTGATGCCTCACAAACACTTGTACAGAAACCACAGTGAGAAGACACGCACCTTGCTTGGCCAGTCTTGCCACAAAAATGCTTTATGGGACCCAAAGAGAGCCCTCATAGTAATGCACAACAGAACAGCACAGAAGATGCTTCAGAAGTAGCCAGTAAAGACAAATGTGGGAAAAGAGCATTGCTGGGCTGTCTGCAAACAAGGGACTTGCTCTTGCCTGCAGCCACACAGGCTGCACTTTGTGCTGGAGCCCCCGCTCACATGTGGCTGAGGACTGAGATGCACTACACTGCCAGAGCAGGTCAGGAGCACGAAGAGAAAGAGCAGCAGCATGGCTGGCTCAGAAACCAAGGCAGTGCCGCTGTCCTGCCAGCACTTGGCACTGCCCCTGAAGAAAAGCAGCAAGCAAAGCAAGAGCACTTTTGGAGAAAGCTGCCATGCTCACCAGCCAACCAAGCTGGAGAGGCCTGCCTCTTGTGTCACATCCCTGTCTGAGCCCTGCCAAGCCATGTCACTGCCTTTGTTTCTCCTAAATAAAAGCTTCTGTCAATGTACCTGCCCTCTTTGCCACAGGCACTTGATGAAAGACAATTACAGCTCCAAACAATTCTCCATGTCTACTCAATCCCTGCCTCCATGCACTTCATGTTGCCTAGAATGGAGACATCAGCAAAGCCCTAGCACGGTTTCTGGGTCCCCCACAATCTCGCTGTGCACCATTTTGAAGGTGTCAATGAACAGGTCCATCCATTCTTGCCGCTCATTTCCAGTGGCAAACTTGGCTTTTTCGGCAGTAAAGGCCAAAGTGGCCACCAGCTGGGTGTACATTCTGGGGTCCTGGGTTTCCCGCGTGGAGTTTAGGAACTGGGCGATCGAATGTATGGTGCTGGGAATATTTATGTTGACTCCCTCTTCCATGGGGCGGAAAATAAGTGGGTTTACATTTCCAGGGTTCCTGTCATCTGCAAGTGAGCGTCAAAAGAATATTTTCAGGGCTTTCTAGCAATGGCTGTGTCTCTGAATGCTACCTGGCTTCCTATGCATGCTGCACCAGAGGAGAACAGAACTAACAAGGGACAGAGAAGTAAAGACCAAAGTCAGATTTTAAATCTCAATATCTATGTCTCAACAGTCATACTGGAATACGTATCCCAGAGTGGGATGTGGATCCCCCGCTGAAACTGAACTGCTGCTGTGCCTCTCGCAGGAAGGCTGAAGCCAAAGATCAACCATGAGGAAGGGAAGGCTGTCAGTGCACTGCAGAACAGCCCTTACAGGGAGCTGCCATAGAGCATTGCTTTGGTGATGAGGAAGGGACCTCAGAGAGGCGAGATGGATAGAATACAGATCCTTGTGCAACTACGATTCCATGGGCTGGAGAGGAACTAAGCATTTGATCAGAGGGCTGAAGCACTTCTCTTATGAAGAAAGGTTGAGGAAACTGGGATTGTTTAGCTTGCAGAAGAGAAGGCTCTGCGGAGACCTCATTGTGGCCTTCCAGTACTTGAAGGGAGCACATAAATAGGAGGGGGAACAAATGTCTGTGCAGGTGGATAGTGATAGGACAAGGGGGAATGGTTTTAAAGTGAGACAGGGGAGATTTAGGTTGGATATTAGGAGGAAGTTTTTCACACAGAGGGTGGTGAGGCACTGGAACAGGTTGCCCAAGGAGGCTGTGGATGCCCCATCCCTGCAGGCATTCAAGGCCAGGCTGGATGTGGCTCTGGGCAGCCTGGTCTGCTGGTTGGTGACCTGCACATAGCAGGGGGTTGGAACTGGATCAGCATTGTAGTCCTTTTCAACCCAGGCCATTCTGTGATTCTATGATTTGTATACATAGATATTCTGCCTGAGGCATCTGA